AAATGAATAGTTAAGAAAAAAAACCTAAACTATTTCCCAAGACCTTGTAAAGTATTTCCAAGATACGTTTCTAGTAAAACACCAGAAAACTGTACAATGTTTTCAAGTGTATGTAACTTTGTAAGAAAAAAAATACACAAGTTATTTTTATGCAGTTTGTTTATAATTGCCACAAGCATTATTACTAACTGAAGCAGTAGTTGAAAATTGTAGTAATCGGTAAAAAGACTTTAATTCTGTGGAGTGCAAGCTACTTTTACTCAACGTAGTTGCCTGGATTTCACAGAAACATCTTAATGATAAATATGCTTATTTTTTTTTAGCAAGCCTGATATTTCTTTTGGTGTGAAATGAATAGTGAACATATTACACACACACACACACCCCTTATGTGCCAAGTATTAAACACCGTCAACATTCTTACCTGAAAATACTTGGGAAGCCCTTTCCTGTCGTTCTTTTTGTAGAAGCGTTTAGGATCTATGGCGGCTCTCATCTGCAAAGCCTTAAGGTCATTTTTCAATTCCTCCGTCATTTCTGGAGCTTTCATACCAAACCAACCATCACCTGTTGTTTTTGCTCGGTCTATCTGTTTTGGGGAAAAAGTTACAAGCATTCTTTCAAAACTCGTCAGGGTTATTCAATTATTAGGCCAATAATCAGTGGATCAAGACCAGATTTTTTAATCCGGCACTGAAGAGGGCAACACCCCTCCCCTCCCGCAATGTGAGACTTCTAGCTTTATAGTAGGCTAATTTTCGAAGTATTTAAAATGTTTTAACCACTTTAAAATGTACTTCAAGGAGCTGTTTCTATCTGAAAGGTCTAAATCCGTGATGGCGAACCAATGGCACGCGATCCCTCTCTGCGGGCGTGCCAGCCGTCGCGCCAACCCAGCTCCACTGCGCATGCGCCTCCCGCCAGCCAGCGGGTCTTCAGATCTCTGCCATGCATGCGGTGGGGGCACATGTGCTCGCGTTGCATTTTGGGGCCTCGTGTGGCTTTCCAGGTGCGCATGCGGGGGTCTCGCTCGCATGCGCTGGGGTCATGCACGCATTACATTATGGGCATGCGCTTTTGGGCACACGACGACAAAAAAGTTAGCCATCACTGGTCTAAATAAGATTAATTTTACCAGGGAAATCCTGAGAGATCACAATGACATGTTACAGGTAGTCCTTGACTTATAACAGTTCATTTAAAGTTACAATGGCACTGAAAAAAAGGGACTGACCATTTCCCACTCTTATGACCGTAGCGGCATTTCCCCAGGGTCATGCAATCAAATTTTGGATGCTTGGCAATTGACTCGTGTTTATGAGGGTTGCAGTTGATCGTGGGATCATCTTTTGTGACCTTCTCACAAGCAAAGTCAATGGGGAAGCCGGATTCACTTAACAACCCTGTGACTAACTTAATAAATGCAGTGATTCACTTAACTGTGGCAAGGGAGTTCAAAAAATGGGACAAAATTCATTTAACAAATGTTTCGCTTAGCGAGAGAAATTTTGGACTCGATTGGGGTCGTAAGTTGAGGACCACCTGTACTTTGGAGTCAGGAAGAGATATTGTCACATACTACTGCATATCCAAATGTATTTTACAAAGGGGACTTTTTCATTTTCTTCAACAGCTTTTCTGAAAGCAAGTTCATGTTAGGGAAGCAACTACACAGGGAGAAGGAACTCTTTGTTTGGATTACTGTAAATGCATTCTACATGGGGCTGTCCTTGAAGACCAACATGGAAAGCTACAAATGGTCCAGAATGTGGCAGTGCATTTATTTGCGATAAGACTGAGTGGCTTTGGATGCTGCCCCCGAAGGACAGCCCAGACAGCCCATCCTTAATCCTGGGGGGTGAAAATTTACATCCCTCGGAGAGGCCTCACAATTTGGGGATCCTCCTGGATTTGCAGCTGACACTGGAACACCATCTGGCGGCTGTGACCAGGGGGGGGTTTGCCCAGGTTCGCCTGGTGCACCAGTTGCGACCCTACCTGGATCGGGAGGCACTCACAACAGTCACTCACGCCCTTATCACCTCAAGGCTGGATTATTGCAATGCACTCTACATGGGGCTACCCTTGAAAAGCGTNGCCAAGCTAGTCCACTTTACATAATAAAGACGTCTCCACTTCAGCTACAGGAAAGCATGATAATATTGGCCCCAACTGACCACATGGCATGTGGAAACTCAAACCTGGATTCAAAACACAGCCTAGAGAGTTGCCCCTCAACCCAAAGCTAGCATTTTATATGGAGAGCAGCAATAATCACAATTATAATCCCTATCGCCTTCACCCGTTCGACTGCTGCTCGTCCTGGATGATGCATTCAGATGGAGATGGGTTTGGGAATACTGGAATCACAGGCAAATCTTTCGATTTCCACGATAAAATGGAAACAGAGGTGCCCATCACTCTATATAAATATAATTTTACCTAGATCTGAACATGGAAGGCAAACTTTTTTAGATGATGGAAAGGCAGTGCTTCTCAAAAGTTTTTCCTTCATTACCCCAAATCGTTTATCAGAAAGTCCTTTTTACCCAATGTAGGTAAAACGGTCAGTTACTTCAAAAAGAAATCCTTTTTGCACTGCTGGAAAAATCTCAACAAAGGAGATTTAGAAACTACCAGCTACCGGTATGTCCTGAATGTCAAATGGAAACTTCATAGCCATTACAAAGTTAATTTTAAATTAAACAATGTACAGTAGTTATTTTACCTATTCCATGAGATTTAACTCTGCCTGGAAAAAGATCCCTTCTTTCCTCAATCCTGTCAGGAACATGTTCTGCTTTCACTATTACAGTGCATTGCATTTTTTGAAACAAAAAACTTTAAAAACAGATTACAAAGATAGTAATAATAATAATAAAACTATATTTTATGTGAAAGTTTCAGCACACAGAACTTATGAAAGACTAGTGGAGAATTAGATAAAATCTCCCCAACTATCTCCCCAAACTCATTAAGATTCAAATAGTTATCTGCATTTTTTGGATCAAGATTTCTTTTAATCCATAATAACTGCAAACTATTAAAACATTCATTCATTACAGAAATTTAACATCTGACAAAACTACAGAAAACAGCTGCTTCCTACTGTTCAATGCACTTTATATTCCAACCCAAATCTTGCAAAAACAATAGTTCTTTTGTATATTCAGTAACTTTTTTTTATCTGTATGTATGTGTGTTTGTGTGTATAATTTCAAGCAGCACATCAAAATTTACTCCAGAATGTTGTCAGATAAATTTTATTTCAGTGATGTACTCAAGTTTTTAAGGACTCCTTCCAACTAACCTGAAACATGGCCTCATTGCATTAAAATTCACTAACACCTCAATGAGCTCAATAGAACCTAGTTCCTGGTAAAGACTGAAATTTGAATTAAGAATGCTTTTTCATGCTTAATATATTGTGGAATCCAAACACCATCACCTAATAAATCATCTAATGCAAAATCATTTTAATATAAAGTATAAGAGGTTTCCATGTCGGAATGGATCCAAGTATATGAATATGGTATGAAAAGCATAATAAAACCTTTAGTAAAGTTACCTATAACATTTTCATTTATAAATTAAAAGCTTAAAATCCAGATAAAGTTTGCATCTCTTACATAACTTTCATATGTGCATTAATAACACAGAAATATCCATTAAAATGGCAAAAATGTACATTGTTAAACTACTGAAATCTCAATAAGCAAACCTCTTTAGAGATAATCTGAATAAAAATATTCATTTAACTGCAGCAGTTTTCTAATTAAATTAAGTGCTTAAGAGCATTGAATCAATTTCTTTTGAAGAACCCACAAACTTAAAAGTAACTTATCTTCACCTCTGGTCGTTTTTAAAAAATCCTAAAAATGTCTGAGAAGCTTATACTCAGTGCAATGCTGAAATTTATATATACAACTTTTTATCTTTTTCAAAATATAAGTATGTTTTAACTTCAGCAAAACCAATTTTCAAAAAGTTAATTCTACTCTTCACTGGAGCCATATAATTCTGAGTTTAAAAAAAAAATCTGAACATATGCCAAGAGAAAAATACAACAAACGTAACAAAAATTGTCCATGGCTAGTCAAACTCTGATGTTTGAGGCGTAGTGAACTGAATATAAATTAATGACTCTATTAAATATTTCACATATTTTTACCACTTGTGAAGTCACCTTATTCCACCAAAATGTGGTTTACTTAGTTTTCTATCAGCCCAGCGGCCATAAACTATACCAAGTCAATTATTATGCCTTACAAATAAAAATACTTCAATCAAAATATAGCTAGCTAGATTTTGAATTTATATTAGTCATTAAAATATTCTAAAGATTACATACAAGATCCCTAGATTAGTAAATCTTAATGAAAAACAATATTATATAGGCGAGCCAACTGTTCTCAACACAGATCACCATATAGTATGTGAAAGTAAATGAAATTGAAAGCATAGGCTCAAGAGTACCATCCCATATGCAATCTGGGTTTTATGATAACTTTTGTCAATTAAAAAAACAACAACTGCCTAGGTTCAATATAAAGTAGAGATAGGGTCTCTCCAAAGTATCCAGTTTTCAAGATCGGCGTTAAGATGATGGGATCCTTTTAGCTTGCAAGATGTAGCCCTTGGATTTGATAATCCCTCTGCTTTTAACGATGACCGAATACCGCAGAAGCCAGAGGGGAGTCCATTCGTGCCCCCGGCAATCTGGGAGGCTTTCTTGAAGAGCTTCCTGGAAACCTGTTTCACAAAGCAGTTCTAAGAGTTGAACAGACGACAAGAATAGTATTTTAGTATATGCGCTACCAGTATTATTTGATAAAAACAAATGTGCATTCCCAAACACACTTCATAACACATTGGGTAGTCCTTGACTCACAACCTTTAGTTTAGCGATCCTCAGAAGTTACAATGGCACTGAAAAAGTGACTTTCACACTTACAAATGCTGCAGCGTCCCCACGATTAAAATTCAGATAGCAATAGCAGTTAGACTTATATACCGCTTCATAGGGCTTTCAGCCCTCTCTAAGCGGTTTACAGAGTCAGCATATGGCCCCCAACAACAANATATACTTTATCTTATTCTTTGCCAGATTCATAATCAATTGGCAAATGGCTCTTAGAAGTTAAAGAAACACTTCTAAAACCTTAGGTGGCCAACTTGCGTTTTTGTGGTTGGAACTTAGGTCTTTAGGACCCAAAGGTTTTGTACCCACTATCCCCTTGATGGCAAACCTATGGCATGTGTGCTGCCTCTCTGCTGGCACGTGAGCCATCGCCCCAGCTGAGCTTCACTGCTCATGCACACATGCCTCCTGCCAGCCGGCTGATTTTCAGGTCTCTGCAGTGCATGTTGTTTAATCAAAATGCAGTTAAAACACTATACAAGCCATCAACAATACAACTATATACATCTAACAGGAACAGGAATTGCCTCAAAGGAGCAGATAGAGGCAAATCCTAGAGAGGCATGACAATGGAGATGAATGCTAGAGAGGAATAAAGCTGCATACAAGGCAGACATAGCATCTATAACAGCGTAGGCATGCATGGGGGAACCCCCACCCGTTTTTGGTTGCAGGAGGCTTCAGGGAGGCCTGAAGGGGGCACACCTGCATTGCATTATGGGTGTGGGCATGCGTCCGCACTGTTGTGCGCACACGCATTTTCGGCATGTGGACAAAAAGGTTTAGCCATCACTGCATTATACCTTAGCACAAAACTAGCCACTTCAACCAAGCCATTTACTAAGCATATAAAGTTCCTTCAAAGAACGTACAATCCTCTGTTTGCCTTTACTTCCTCTTCGTCCTCATCCACGAACTCTTCTTCACTTTCTTCCACCTCTGATGAATCTTCACTTTGTGTTTCCTCAACATAATAATCTTTGTGAGAATCTAAGCCAGGAGTTTTATCAATGACAAACACCTCTTGATTATTGGACTGGTTTTCTCTCAAGGGGCTTTCGCTACTTTCTTCGACGTATCCAGCAGCTATTTTGCTGTTTTTCAGTTTTCGTAAGTTATTATATTCAGATTCCTGACTTGTAAGAGACACGGAGAGGTCTTTTTTATCTTCCTTGCCTTTGGTTCCACATGGAGAGGATTCAGCAATTTCCTCTTCTAGGCTTCCATCACTATCTATGCTTGAAACCGAAGGTCTGCAGTCATCTCTGTTAACAATGGGTGATGTGATTGTTTTGTTGGTGGGGCTACCTACTTCAGAAACGTCATCACTATCTATTATTTCTTCTCTTTTATGTAAACAGGTCTTTCTAACATTTTCGGGTGTTAAGCTCTTGTTTTTACTTGCTGTTGCTTTTCCTGAGGACTCAATGGATTGTTCAAGGTTTTCTGGATCGGGTGGAGATCTTCTTGAATTCTCCGAAGGCAACTGATTTTCAGATACCTGCATGGGTTTTTCTGAAGATTGATCATGCATTTCTTCTGGACTCTGAGTTATATCAATTATATCCGCTGCTGTTTGTTTTGAACTGGAATGCTCCAATTCATCATCATTGTTCTTTAATTTCCCTTGCTTAGGGAAGTTTTTATTATCTTCCTTTGTTACTTCCTCATTACTGCTTGAGAAAATCTGTTGCAGATCATTGCTGGCAACAGATTTAGGGAGACACTTTTCTTTATTGGGGCTAAGGTGCTCTTTTATCCACTTTGAAGAAAGAGAATCTGCTTCTTCGGCATTTGAATCAGAAACGTCTGAATCAGGGATTACTATTGTTTCAGATGGAATTATACACTCGGGTGTTTCCGTATCCTCTCCTAATGCATTGCTTTTTCTTTCAGTCTTGGATATTGGTTTGGCTTGCAATTTCAGTGCCATACTCCTGGTCATTCGTTTAAACGGGCTAAAGGAAATACCCGAGCACCAAGACTCAGCATCGGAAACCTCTTCATCTTGAACCTCACACACCGGTGACACATTACCCCATATCTGTCGATGTCTAGACTTTCTCAGAGTTTTTGAGGTCCTTGTTCCCGAGACAACAGAAGAACACGACTCTGCCTCAGATGTATCATCGTGGTCTTGATAATTACTACTTTCATGGGTAGCGGTTTTTTTGCTTGGCCTGTTTTTAGCTGAAGTCTCTGGGGTAGAAGGAATTACAATTTGCCGCCTGGTTATTCTGGTGCTGGTTCTTCGTAGAAATAATGGCGTTTGAAGACCAGACATGGAAGAACAGGTTGATTCTGCTTCTGAAACATCTCCATCGACTTGAGATCCTGCCAGGGGCTCAGCGTTACTTTTACTCAAGACTGTGCGTGCTTCCGAAGGCTCTTCCGCCTCCAATTTTCTTTCAGAAGCTTTCGTTTTTTCACTCTGAGGTTCAGATATGACTCGGAGAGGGGAAATCATTTGGGTTCTGCTTCTAGTTATCCTTACAGACAGGCTATCTTCCACTGCAGTCTGCTGTAAGAATGAAAAGGATATCAGGTAACAAGCAAAAATAAAATACATAAATAAATCCATGCTACGTGAGAAACTCACAAATTCTGAACTACAACATTTCTCTAAAAAGATGACCCACCTTGAAAAGGAGCCCTATCACGTTTTTGCGCACATGCGATCAAATTAAGTCCCACCCGCAAAATTAGCCCTAATTAAGACCCTGCCCACCCTGGGGTGTAGAGGATGGGGCAAGGCACACAGGTAAAAAATAAACTATGGTGGGGATGGGGGTGGTGGAGCTGCCCTACTTACCAGGCCTCGCACCGCCACTCACACGCATTGCCCTGGCCTCCGTTTCGCCTTTAGACGCCTGCCAGAAGGCATCTGCAGACAGTAACAGAGCTCCGGATCGATCCAGAGCTCTATTATCGGCTGCAGATGCCTTTCCAGAAGTCATTTACAGCCTATAACAGAG